TACATTCTACAAGGACAACGGCACCTCATCACAGATGAAAATTCCACCACGCTCGCAAATACCAAGCCTCGTTACTCCATCAACCCAAATCTGAACATTCTTAGCCCGATGGCCTTTCCCCCGCCGGGAATAAAATACCGAATCTCCAAATCATGCACTGATTAAACCTCTCTTCAAGTCATTCATTGCCCCCACACGTAGGCAAGCATCCTACCATCACCTCAATAATGCGCGACAACTGTTCATAAGCATCATGGCAACTTGTGCCTAGCCTCAAAGCTCTCAGAAGTACAGCTACTGAGCTAAAACGACAGAATATCCTTCCACAAGGCGACGACAATAGTCAAATCAACTACGCCGGGAGAAGCATCCCGTACCACCTTTGTAGTACCTTTAAAATTTCAATTCCTGATTTATAATAAGCGCTCCACGTCGCATAAGATTTAATAGGAAGGAAATAAAGGCATAAGCCTCAAAGGAATCAAATCGCATGATGAGGAATTCAAGAAGGGAAGTGCTCCTAACAGCCCTGTAGCCTCCCGAAGATAAGTACAGACGTCTCCGTACAGATCTGCGAGACTCTACTAGACTTGCTCATGACTCGTGAGACCTAAGGGAACCTAGTGCTCTGATACCATGTTGTCAGGACCCAAAATCCACTAAGGGTCGTGATGGCGCCGGACACCGCTGTCAGGCAAGCAACCATAAATACTTACTTAAATTCTCATTTGAATAATTATGAAAACTATAATTTTTCTTTCAATTTGGCTAGTAAAAGATAATCTTTACAAAATAATTAAAGAATATTTAGAAGTTATTAAAGAATACCCCATAATCATCCTAGAACCCGGTGTCACAAATGCATGAGCAATTACTAAGGAATCAAATAAAGTACAATAACTGTCCGGAATACAAATTGGATAGAAAGTAAATACAATACGCTGAAAGAGACTATACTAGCTGCGGGTCGTCTCGAGAAGCGCAACTCACCTAAGTCTCCGTATCAACCATGCTGCTACGCCCACTAGGCCGCTAGAGATGCATGTGCCTGTGCAACAAAAATGCACAGCAAGTGTAGCATGAGTACGAAAACAACGTGTACTCAGTAAGTATCCCGCCTAATCTCGAAGAAGTAAAGATGAGAGGTCGACTTCGACACTTACTAGTGTTCCAATAATGATACATCAATAATATGACAATTCGAGGATCTATATAAACATGATTGTAATTCAATAGAGTGAAGTAAGTAAATAATTCTTTCTTTTATGTGAAATTCCCAAATTCCTTTTTCATCATTTATACATATATTCTCAAGCGGGGAAGAAGCAATATCAACTTCAATAAATTGCAAAGCAAGCAATACAAGCATGCGCAAATTATGCCGAGGTCGTACGGCCCGATCCAACAATATTTAAACTGTACACTGCCAGACGGTCAAATGGCGCGAACCATAGATGCATATATTACCCCGCTCGCGAATCATACATGCGACGCATTCAATTTTAAATAAACAATTACCCTGCTCGCGAATCATACATGCGACGCAGGTACACATAGAAACACATATTCAAACAGTCAATCAAGACATTCATCAAGGAAACAATTATTCAAGGAGGTAAATTTCCCTTTTTACAAGTCATGAAAATGAAGTTTAATTCTTTTAGAAAATCATTTGCCACTTCGATATGATTTAAGCAATTTAAACTATCAATAAGATTGCATTTATTACAACTAATCATGTTTTTGGGTCTTAGACTACCCGGACATAAGCATAATAGTAGCTACGCACGGACTCTCGTCACCTCGTGCGTACGTAGCCCCCACAAATAGGAGCACATAACCAATTAACTCAGCTATGGGGACAATTCCCTCTTACAAGGTTAGAAAAGAGACTCACCTCGCTCCGAAGTTCCATAAATGGCACACGCCCTTTCGAAGACTTAAATTGATGCACAACGCTCCAAAACTAGCCAATAATTATGCAAATCCATTAATATATGTTCAATTACTCATAATAATCTAATTTATAACAATTCCTAACCCCTATCAATAGGTTGACAAAAATGCCCTCGCGCCCACGTGCCCGGATTCCGAAATTTTTCGAAGATAAAGTTTACCCATAACCTCACGAACTCAAATATATAATTCACTCCCAATTTCATGTCCAAAATCGTGATCAAAATCCAAGAATACTAATTTTTTAGGTTTTCCCTCAAAATCCCATATTTCTACAAATTTCCATACTTTAATCCGTATAACATCCATGTATTTGACTTATAAGGAGTGGGAATTACTTAACTTGCCATTGATGATGAAAACCCCCTCTTGAAACCCTCCAAGAATCGTCCAAGCCAAGAGAAAGATAGAAGAAAATGGCCCAATCCCGACTTTAAAACAACTCACTGCCTCCAGCCCTTCCGCACCTGCGGTCACTTGACCGCTTCTGCGGTTCCGCAGGTGCGGCCCTACTACCGCATCTGTGGTCCTTCACCATCCCCCCTTCTTCCACTTCTGCGCTCCTCCAACCGCAGGTGCGGTCCCGCATCTGCGGCAAAATGACCGCATCTGCGATCCCAGCCTAGCCGGTCCAGTTCCGCTTCTGCGACACAAAGGCCGCTTCTGCGGCTCCGCACCTGCGGCCCAAGCCTCGCAAGTGCGGTTACACCAGAAGGCAGCTACTTCATTTCTTCTTTAAATTCCAATTTTGACCCGTTAGCCATCCGGGATCCACCCGAGGCCCCCGGGACCCCAACCAATCGCACCAACCGGTCCCAAAACATATTACGGACTTGATCGAGGCCTCAAATCATATCAAACAACGCTAAAATCACGAATCACACCCCAATTCGAACTTTATGGACTTTAGAACTTCAACCTTCTTCATTCGATGCCGAAACCTATCAAATCACGTCCGATTGACCTCAAATTTTGCACACAAGTCATATTCGACATTACGGACCTACTCTAACTTCAGGAATCGGAATCCGACCCCGATAGTAAAAAGTCAACTCTCGGTCAAACTTCTCAAAAACCTTCAAATTTCTATCTTTAGCCAAATGACTCCAAAAAGACCCGCGGACCTCCGAATTCACTTCTGATCGCTCTCCCAACACCAGAATCACCATACGGAGCTATTCCCAGACTCGTAATCCTAAACGGACATCGATAACACTGAAATGCACTTCAACCCAAACTTATGAAATTCTTCCAAAAGTGCTAACTTCCACCATAGGTGCCGAAACGTTCCTGGGTCTTTCAAAACCCGATCCGGACATACGCTCAAGTCCGAAATCATCATACGAACCTGCTGGAACCTTCAAATCCCGATTCCGAGGTCGTTTACTAAAAAATTCAATCTTAGTCAATTCTTTCAACTTAAGGCTTCCGAAATGAGAATTCTCTCTCCAAATCAACTCCAAACTTTTCGGAATTCAATTCCGGTCACGCGTACAAGTCATAATACCTGAAGTGAAGTTACTCAGGGCTTCAAACCGCTGAACGACGCGCTAGAGCTCAAAACGACCGGTCGGGTCATTACACCACCCCCAAAAAAATTGCATAGGGTGTCCCCCAATGAGATTGATCTTAGCTAAATGTCAAGTTAATTGACGATATTTAACAAATCTCTTCTTCTTCACCAAGAAGACCATGATTCTTTTTATTTTGAGCGTACAATTCTTGTTTACTATTACAAATTCGAAGTTAATGACTAATTACTGTTGAAATCGTTTGAGTGTTGATTATTTATGCCTGAACTTTTATTTTAGATACTGATTTAGTGATTTGCTTTAAAATCTTAAAACTCCATTATTGGTCCTTATAAAGTATTGAAGAAGACAAAGTGGATCTTCTTGACTTGGTGTTATTTAATTAAATTGGTGAGTAGGGATCATTTGTGTACGTATTTGGATGCTTTGTTTAAATTTGAGATCATTCGGAGCAGGTTTGGGATAGTTTGATCGAAATTGAAATTGCAAATTAAAATAATATTTTGTTGAACAACACAAGAAATTATGTCAATCGGATATAGTTTGATAAACAATTAAACAAACACAACATTATGCCAACCGGGTAGAATTTATGAACAATTTATAATATAGGTAGAGTAAATATGCATAATTCTATCGATCCGGTAAAAAACTCCCTAAAGACCTGCGCCAATTCGGAGGTTATTTTTTAATTGCATTCAAAAATAGGGGTAATGTTTAAATACCATCCTTGTATAGCAAAAAATTAAAGATATATGACATTTTTAGAGTGATTTTAACTTTTGACCCTCGCATGGGGCAGAACTTCTTAAAAGTATTGCCCAGGGTTAAGCGAGGGGCAACACTTGTTAAACTTAAAATTCTTGGGGCAAATGGGGGCCAAATTTTAAGACCAAATACTTTAAGGGCTATTTAAGTACTTCCCCCCTTTATAGGGTCATACCTGTCAATCACCCCATCATGGATGCTGTCCAAAACTTCTGAGCGGGCTGAGTCCAATATTAAGGGGGGGGGGGGGGAGACCAGAAATAGCCAGATTTACAATTGGTAATTGAAAATTAGCCACAATTTTAAAAGTAATCGAAATTTAGCCACTTTTTATATAAAGATAAAATCTAAACTTACACACCCTTAAAATCCGGAAAAATTCCAGCATAATATGCTGGAGTTCGAATTTTACATATTAAATTTCAATATAATGTGCTAGAATTTCATAATGTGTTGGAGTTCCAACATAATATGTTGGAAATTTATACGTAGGAGCTCAATAATCTAGCATATTATGTTGGAACTTTCCGTGTGTTGTTTCGAACATAATAGCTGGAAGTTTATACACAATAGCTCCATATTCTAGCTTATTATACTAGAACTTTTCCTATTTCAACAAAATAGTAGCTATTTTTTAATGATATTACAAACGCTGACTATATTTCTAATCAATTCGAAAACTGGCTAGCCCATGCAATTTTTACAATATTAAGAAGTCATCAAAATGAAGGCCCAATACAGTTGCCTCCAACAATAGAAGAGTCCGGAATAAGTACCCTAGTTTCACTAAAACCCTAAAATCAATCTTCTTCATCAGCCGCATTTGCAGTGCGTGTTTGAATCAGATTTTGCAAAGATGAAGTACAATTCAAGAGTTTCCTCCTCCCGCCGGAAAAGCCGAAAGGCCCATTTCACGGCCCCCTCAAGCGTCCGCCGAGTGTTAATGAGCGCACCCTTATCCTCCGAATTACGCACCAAGTACAATGTAAGATCTATGCCGGTAAGAAAAGACGACGAGGTTCAAGTAGTACGAGGAACATACAAGGGGCGTGAGGGTAAAGTTGTCCAAGTTTATCGCAAGAAATGGGTGATTCACATTGAGCGTATAACACGTGAGAAAGTTAATGGATCCACTGTTAATGTTGGTATTCACCCATCTAAGACTGTTATTACTAAACTCAGGCTTGATAAGGACCGTAAATCTTTGATTGATCGTAAGGCTAAGGGACGTGCTGCTGCTGATAAAGACAAGGGTACTAAGTTCACTACTGAGGATATTATGCAGACCGTTGATTAAATTTTGCAGCTGTTTGTTTCTGTTACAGAGTTCTGTTGGGCAGCTGAACGAGAGGTTTTATTACTAATTTAGTACGTTTTTGTTATTAGGATTTTTGGGATCTTTAATTCTGTTGACATTTTTGGTTTTGTCGTAATTGCATTCTGGTGAAAGTTGGTAATCTTGGGTTGATTAATATCTTTCATTAAACTTTTTACTTGTGTGTTTGTTCACTTTGTTTTGTGTGTTAGAATGATTGCTCAACCGGTTTGTCCTTTGAATATCTATGTGGAAAGTTCAATGCTTAAGGTTGTTACTAATGTTGTATTTAGCATAAGAGGGAGGGAACTATGAGGTTTCGGGTTCAAATTCCAGTGGAGTCAATAAACACTAGGTGATGATTTTGTCCCGTCTGGCGTCTGCCTATAAACTTGTTTGGCAGAATTACTTGGTACCTGTGAAATAGTCCAGGTGTATGCAATCGTGTGTTAATGGTTTACTCTGAGGGCCTAGATATGTAGTCTGGACGTAATTAAGAATGCAAAGGATTCATAAGCCTAAATTGGTGGATTTGATATCCGCATTGATTGTCTCATATGTGGTATTCTTGGTATGTAGAGTTATCCTCGGCCTGTGTCCTCTGTTGAGGAACATGTATGCTGAGCCAAATTGATTAAGCATTGTGAACTTCTTTCTTGTTCACTTCCCAGTTCCCACAGCGTAGGAGATGTTAATTTACACTGGTGTCTATTGTTTTAAGTTTTACGCCTTATCTATTAGGAGGATCACCAAAATAGAGGGAATAGATACAGAGGATTCATAGTTGACCCTAACTATTTTGGGATTGACGCATAGCTGCTTGAATCCATTAGGAGGCTTGTATCTCGGGTTTACTGGAATGTTCTGCCTTTGGCAGTAAGTGAAATAACACTTAGGAAGAGAGGGTTGATGAATGTGTCTTTGACTTGAAAGGTGGCGAGGAACACAAATAGAAAAGAGATGTATAAAGGAGGAGCTATTATTCTTTTTCCACCTTTATGTTTTTACATCCTATTTTTGAAATAGCAATATTTCATCTTCTTTGTTATCTTCTGGGTCCGTGAAGTGACAAAGCATTCGGCCCTTAGTTTGACTGACCATAACTGAGCAGCATTTGTTCCAATGGACCTTAAATTTGAAGAGTTGGTTTAGGTTGCTTCGGAAATTAGATTTCTTTTCTGATATGAAATGATTAGTCGGATTGACAATAGTTAGCCTTTAATTTGATCAATGACAGCTTAGCCTTTCGTCCAAGGAACTTGTAAACTGGAAAAGTGAGTCTAGGCTGCTTTAAGGTCTCAGTCTCTCTAGGTCTGGTTCCAAAGCCAGTAGGCATAGTTGACGCAATACTGCTGCAGTTGCTTCTTCTTAGAGGAAAAAGTGCTGTTCCACTCTCGAGTGACCGAGCTGCTTTGTTTTCCACAAGAGATGTTGCTTGTTTTTTTTGGCAAGACAGGTTGTCCAAAGCGCCAGAGCTAGTCTGAATATGGAAAACCTTAGATAGATGCCATCTCATTTTACCCGGCATGCACACCATTAAGGTATTTTGGGAACTGCTGTCCTATGTTGTTTGCTCAAGTTAAATTAGTTTTTCATAGAAAGTGGAGCTTGCATTTCTCAAATTAGTTTCCCTGTTTTCCAGCCCTGAGCTGTATCAAAATCAATGTTTGCCACTTAGCTTGGAGGTGATTCGTTGCTTCTGGTACAAGGTTGGTTTAGTTGTGTGAGAATGTACATGCTGATACCAAATGATTTTTACTGGTTTTTGTGTCACTAAACTATTTTGAAGTGAGATTGCTATTGAACGACTTAAAAGATCACTAGTCTGTACGTTTGGATAAGCGCGCACGAGCTTGATCTGTCAAAGATTACCAATTTCACAATGCTTTTCACTTTCAGATTACAAAAATATACACCCTTTTAAGTCCATTGTCACGAGCACAATCCAATTCTGCTACAACCTCTGTTCAATAACATAATCTTATTATTAGGAACTGAGCAATGGGGTCTCTTTTTCCGAACCATAAGAGTTTAACTAATCGGTGTTCTCTTAGTTTTGTTGGTAATCTTGATTTGACACTACGACTGTTGTCTGATTAGAGACAGTACATAAATGGCTCCTAATCATCTCCTGCTGACCTTGATCTGACTAAGTTCTAATTGCTCCCTACGACCAGCTATCCCAAAAATAAATGACAGGTTCTTGAAGATGGAAAATGGGAAGAAAGAAAACGTTAAAGGCAGTACAAGGAAAATGGTTAGATACACTATTGAGTTTGAACCTGAGCCGAAGGTCTATTGGAAACAACTTATCTATCCTCACAAGATAGGGGTAATTTACCCTCTCCAGATCCCACAGTGTGGGATAATACTGGGTATGTTGTACACTATTGAATTTGAAAGCAATGTCATTTGTGTTATGCTTCGTCGCTAGAAATCTAAAAGACCAGATGAACAAATTATCGGAAAAGTAACTCAACCTCATTTCGATCTTTAAAAAAAACGTAACTCAATTTTGGATGTACTTTAATTTCCACTAGATTTGGTTTAAACCATGCAGTTGTGCATTCTCAGCAGGCAAAATCATATTGGTTATACTCGTCAGTCATGGAACAATTACAGCAAAACTGCCTAAAAGTCCAAGGTAAAAACGAAGCACACATTTCCAGATAACCAAGGGGGTTAATTAAAGCAATTGCTGCAATTAGATAACTATTGCATCGCCCGGATAAAAGAGAGAAAGAAAACTCTTACACAGGTTAAAACTACCAAGTTCTAGATTTGCCATGAAAAAATTGCTTTCTCAAAACAGGGAAAATAGGAGAAAGACAATAGAAAACAGTGAAATGCCACAGGCTGGTCCAACTTCGGAAACCACCATCCCCAATTGATCCATTCTGGAAAAAAAATGTGTTTGAACTACTTATTGAGTGCCTCCTTCACGTGATACTCCAAAAATTTCCTCAGTGCGAGTTCAAGGATGCAGGCTACGAAATATCAAGGCTTAAGAGCTAGGGCCACCCCAAACCTGGGAGTCTTATCCAGGGCCTTGGTGTCAAACTCACTAGAAATGGTCAATAACGACTTTGGAATCACCTCATGCTGCAAGAGAGCCCCCAAATTTCCATGATTATTGAGTTTGAGTTTCAAAATTGTCAGGTTATCAACAGCATAGGACCCTCCAACTGTAAATGTGTTCTCATTTGTGGAGAACCTCCTAGTGATTTCACCTACAGCAGCAGTCCTCTTCAATGCATCAAGATGATGTATGTATGATGCCTTAATTGTGTCCCCTTTGTCCCCTCTGAGGCCAGAAAAGAACAAGTATCAAAAACTCCGATCTTTTTATCATTTCTGCTTTCTAATTGCAGAAGTTAGAGACTTTTAACATTGAAACTTACAAGATTATAGCAGCACAGGAATCTGGTTTTGTCACGCTAATACCAGCAGTATACTTTGTCAGTTTACCAGTTGCAGTCTCATAACCCGCCTCTGCACCAAGAGCAAAAGTTGGAGTACCAAGTGTGATTGAAAGATCAACTGCAGGGGATTGCTTCAGAGCAACAGCTGTGGTGACAGTTGCATGATGGTGAAAATACTGAGCCTCTAGCTGCAAAAGAAAGCAAAGGCAAGTTTACAGAAGGGGAAACTCTATCATTTTCAGCAATGGACCAAAGCCATGAGCCGAAAACAGATGAAAAGATCTTACCTTGCCAGAACTGTAGTCAGGGAATTTCATAGAGGCAATGGTTTTTGTTGACGGGACAATGTCAGTTAAAGTAAGAGTTGTCAAGATCTGCAGGGAGATAGAAATGTGAAGGATAATCCAACAAAAACAGACATGATTAAGAAGACCAAGCTGTAAGCAACCCACGTTTGATCCTGTATCAACTTTGACATCAATCAAAGTGTTCTTATATTTGTACTGAGCTGCTACATCTCCAGTTGAGAGCCCTCCTTTCTTCACAGTAGTTGATGTAAGGGCCTACATTAAAAAGGCCTATTAGAGATGAAATTCAGTTGCCATAGATCTAGTGATATAAGAACTTAATTAGAAGAAAGCTTTTGCACATTAAGAAAAGGAGCTGAAACTTTATAAGGCATAGCAAAGTAAAAAAGAATGTTATGGAAAATAACGTAACAGGTCAATCAAACATAAGGCATCACCCTAACGACAAAACACTTATTAAGGCATTTGCACTTTCAAAAATCATCACGTCTTTAATGGAGAAGCTTCTTCCATATGTTTCTTGCAGTATCTTTACTTGTTAATTTTTTAGCAGGAATTTGCCCAACATTTCAAGATCATGTTTTTCAAAAAACTGCACGGACATGTCGTAGGGCGCATGAAAGGACTCCAAACCTTATCGCTAACCCAAGCATGGTATTTAGTGGGAGAAGGATAAAGGTCAGGACCATGTTCCCCTGAGTTTTGAACAACTAGACAACTTGGGATTTGGGCAGCTAACCCACAGGGGATTTCCCGGTTATCAGGAAAAATCTGGGATTTCTTGATTATCAAGAAAAATCTTATATAAATGTATACTTAATTACTGATCAAAAAAAGATCTTATATAAACCCACAATTTCTCCATGTACGCAAGTAAAATTGGATGACTTCAACAAATTCCCAACAAAATGTCAGTTCCTCTTAGAAACACAAATGAATGAGTTTAACTTCAATCATTAATGCAAATGGACCCAGCAAAGATATTACAGATAAGCAATGAAGAGGAAAAACAAAGATTTGATTCAGATTCAAAGATACAGCATGAATCTAATCTGTCTGTAACCGAATTGAGAATCACTAAACTTTGATAGAATTAGTGGTGTCTTCCAAAAACAAGAAACTAGAATTCAATTCATTTGACCGAACCGTCTCTCCCAAGATCAGTTTCTAGGTGATGGAGAGTGATTTTGCTAGGACATGCAAGAGCAATCTTAACACTAATGTACCCAGCATAGATATGGTAAATAAACAATGAAGAGAAGATTCAAAATATTCTGTCTCTTCAAACAAGGACGACTAAACATCGAGCAAAAACACATCAATGTTTTCGAGCTCTTTGTTTCAGTTTTGAAGTTAAAGAGCATTAACTTATTAATGCTTCTGGCATGTGAAGTTTAGTGAATGAAAAGTTGAAAATCGTTGCCAAGTTTACTGTTCCAACATATGGC